GAAATTATTGTAGTGAGCAAGATTAACCAATAAGCCTAGGTTTATCGGTTAATTGTGTAGTTGTCTACATGCCTACTTTATAATACAGTAGCATCCAAAATTTGCTAGGAAATGTATAAAAATAGAAGATGCAGCTTGTCTCAAAAAACTAAATAAATAGAAAAACAACATAAGCAAAGGTGATGCAACATAAGCAAAGCGATGTTATAGAATCATAGGACTGGAAGGGACCTCGAGAGGTCATCGAGTCCAGCCCCCCGCCCTCAAGGCAGGACCAAGCTCTGTCTACTCCATCCCTGACAGATGTCTATCTAACCTGTTCTTAAATATCTCCAGAGAGGGAGATTCCACCACCTCCCTTGGCAATTTACCACTAACAGCTTAGCCCTGCCATATTATCTGTGGGCAGAAGAACCCACATTTCACTTTAGCTGGGTTGTGAGCAGCTGTAAGGATCCACCCATGTGGATCTCTAAGGTGCTACAGGACCATTGTTGTTTTTAAAATTTTGTTAGTTACAGATTAACATGGCTACCTCTCTGAGACTTTCAAAATGGTTATAGTATTACATTCACAACACAACTTTCAATGGCTTTTTAGTCTCAGATATAACTAGAACTAGTACCTATATACATTTTTATATTACCAGATTATTTAATTTACAAAGTACAGCAATGAAGGGAGAACATTAAATCCTTTCTTTTACGAAATTGCAAATATTCCATGGAGTTGCTTCATAGTATCCTACTACAGTTTTCACTTTGTCTATACAGGGCTTTATAGTGTGGCTACTTTACAAAGATACAAGGAATTTAGCGTCTACACTATAGATACAGGCACACATACATTGTCTCATAGATACCGCAAGAGGAAAGTCCAAATCCTGCTTTCACATTAACAAGTACAACTCTCACTGAATTCAGTGTGCTGTGTGCAAGTATCTAAAGTCAATTTGGCTCAATGACTTTAAAGACTTACCAGAAATTATTTCTGATGCAGTAATATTTATAGTATAGATTCTTTAACTATGTAAAGAAATTTCAATGAGGTTCAAGAATAAGGCTCCCTTGGGTCATTAATGGTGCAGGCCAGTGTTTTTCAATTTCAGGCCTGTGGACCCATGTCGTCCACAGACTATGTCCATGAGGGTCTGTAAAAGGTCATTGTTGCCATAGAACAGTGATTTTTCAACTGTGATCTGTGGACAACATGGGGGTCCACAGAGTACATCTAAGATTTCCAAAGGGGTCTGACCTACATTTCAAATTTTTAGAGGTTAACAACAACTCTCTGACTATGGTTATCCAGCCAATTATGCACCCATCTTATTGTGGCCCTATCTAAGTTATATTTGCCTAGTTTATCAATAAGAATATCATGCGAGACCGTATCAAATGCCTTACTAAAGTCTAGGTATATGACATCCACCGCTTCTCCCTTATCCACAAGGCTCGTTATCCTATCAAAGAAAGCTATCAGATTAGTTTGGCATGACTTGTTCTTCACAAACCCATGCTGGCTATTCCCTATCACTTTATTACCTTATGTATGTATCTTGTTAGAACTGTCTCTTTTTTTTCTTCCTTCTTGCTTATGCCTCGTATCTTTCCTTCCTTTTATTCAGATGTCTCACCCAGATCCATCACTTTTGTCCTGTTCTTCCTTCCATCAGAGCAGCCCTACCCACAGAATAGATTCAGGATAAGTTTGCTCCCATTGGATTCCCTAACTCCTCGTGAGGAGCAGGAGTACCAGCACCAACTGGGGTGCCCTGTGAGTTTAATTGAGTATGTCTCCATTAGACCCACTAAACCGGGGGTGGGCAATAATTTTTTGCCGGGGGCCACTTTGGAAATTTTTGAAGTGGCCCCAGACCACACAGGAAGGGGTGGAACATGGAGCGGAAGAGGCGTGGCCAGGATATTTCCGGGTTCCCCACCCCAAGACAATGATTGGTCTGAGGGAGAGGGAGTGCCTTTGCCCCTACCCCACGTTCCCCCAAGGTGCCTATGCCCCTGGCATGGGAGAAGACTTCCCTCACTCCCCTGTCCGATGGCCAATTAGGGTCTGGGGGCGGGGGAGCACACAAAGCTTCCTCCCACTCTGCCAGGAGCACACAGGACTTTGAAGCACCCACGCTGCTTGCTGGGCGGAGGCAGAGCAGAGAAGGCTTTGCGTGCTCCCCCGCCCCCAGGCTCTAATTGGCTTGGGGGTGGAGGAACCAGACGCAGGGCTTCCGCGGGCCGGATCCAGCCTGCAGAAGCCCTTTTGTCCACCCCTGTGCTAAACTGAACCCTGGAAGATCAACCACAGCAGCGTATACGTGCCCTCACCATCCAACCTACATGCTGAAGAATGTAGGGAATTTGCAGATACAATATAGCACTGTGTGATCATGTAATTAAAGAAATCATCTGTAAACACTTGGAAGGTGGCAAGGTGATAGGGAACAGCCAGCATAGATTTGTAAAGAACAAATCATGTCAAACCAATCTGATAGCTTTCTTTGATAGGATAACGAGCCTTGTGGATAAGGGAGAAGCGGTGGATGTCATATACCTAGACTTTAGTAAGGCATTTGATACGGTCTCGCATGATATTCTTATTGATAAACTAGGCAAATATAACTTAGATAGGGCCACGATAAGGTGGGTGCATAATTGGCTGGATAACCATAGTCAGAGAGTTGTTGTTAACCTCTAAAAATTTGAAATGTAGGTCAGACCCCTTTGGAAATCTTAGATGTACTCTGTGGACCCCCATGTTGTCCACAGATCACAGTTGAAAAATCACTGTTCTATGGCAACAATGACCTTTTACAGACCCTCATGGACATAGTCTGTGGACGACATGGGTCCACAGGCCTGAAATTGAAAAACACTGGCCTGCACCATTAATGACCCAAGGGAGCCTTATTCTTGAACCTCATTGAAATTTCTTTACATAGTTAAAGAATCTATACTATAAATATTACTGCATCAGAAATAATTTCTGGTAAGTCTTTAAAGTCATTGAGCCAAATTGACTTTAGATACTTGCACACAGCACACTGAATTCAGTGAGAGTTGTACTTGTTAATGTGAAAGCAGGATTTGGACTTTCCTCTTGCGGTATCTATGAGACAATGTATGTGTGCCTGTATCTATAGTGTAGACGCTAAATTCCTTGTATCTTTGTAAAGTAGCCACACTATAAAGCCCTGTATAGACAAAGTGAAAACTGTAGTAGGATACTATGAAGCAACTCCATGGAATATTTGCAATTTCGTAAAAGAAAGGATTTAATGTTCTCCCTTCATTGCTGTACTTTGTAAATTAAATAATCTGGTAATATAAAAATGTATATAGGTACTAGTTCTAGTTATATCTGAGACTAAAAAGCCATTGAAAGTTGTGTTGTGAATGTAATACTATAACCATTTTGAAAGTCTCAGAGAGGTAGCCATGTTAATCTGTAACTAACAAAATTTTAAAAACAACAATGGTCCTGTAGCACCTTAGAGATCCACATGGGTGGATCCTTACAGCTGCTCACAACCCAGCTAAAGTGAAATGTGGGTTCTTCTGCCCACAGATAATATGGCAGGGCTAAGCTGTTAGTGGACTGAGGGCAGATCTACACTGAACCTGGAAGGAAGGCTTAAGGTACACAACTGCAGCTACGCAAAATGCATACTTGGAGTAATGTGTTCTAATGCCTCAACACAAGAGGTCAGAGTTAAGACTGCAGAGGTAACCTTAGCTTTGACTTTTTTGGGTTTTCAGTGCTTCGTTCTGCAATTTTAACAGGCTGTCATTATCATTGTTCATATGGCATGTTTGTATTGTCATTCCTTTGCTGAGTGAAACTAGATATTGGTGCTCTTCCTGGTTGGCTTCCCCCCAGGAGGAGAAATAAGTTATACAGAGTCTGAGAATATTCTTAGTGTAACTTGTTTTATTTACACATACACACCAATTCTGGAATAGAAGTGGTCACAAATGGCATTCAGGCAATCCCCTCTTCCAGGTAATTCAGTACAAATACCAAAGCCCATGTAGTGACTCTGCCTCAAGAACTGACTCTAGGTGGAGATATTAAGGCAGACAGCAAGGTTCCTGTTATCTATGCCATCAAATGCCAGCAGAGCCCCACTGTTATATGTATTGGACAAACTGGATGGTCTCTGCGGCAAAGAATCAATGGACACAAATCGGATATACGTAAAGGGAACATACAGAAGACTGTTGGTGAGCATTTGTGGTCTTGTCACAAATCAGCTCCACAAGCTAGATCCACAGGGAGGCCCTGGAATCACAGTTCATCTGAAAATTCAAATCACATACTAATAGACTCAATCGTGATATGGGCTGGTGGGGACTCTACCTACTTAATAACCACTGAAGGCGCTAACAGCTCTCTGAGTGGTATCCTTCCTGTCTTAGGAATCTATTGACTTTGATTTTTATCTACTTAGGTTTAAGTACCCATTCTCCAGATACTTAATTATGCTCTGTCTCCCACCCCTTTTTCTTTCTCTCCCCTCTCCTTCTCCTATGTATTTCGAGTTTTCATATCTCCAACTCATAACTCTGGTCATCTGAAGAAGTGGTCTGTGCACACAAAAGCTCATGATACCATCTACATGTTTTGTTAGTCTATAAAGTGCTACCAGAGCATTTGTTGTTTTTTTCTATAAAACTTCAAGAGATAAATAACACCACAGCATTTTCTTCCAAGATCAAGTTTCCTCACAAGCACAAATAAAAATCTTAGTTTAACTATGCCATCTGCTGACCCTTGGCCATAACAAGATTACATGGTGGTATGAAAAGTTTATATCAAACCAAATCTGGCATGTACGTTCCCACTACTCACTGTAGGAAAGACAAGATATGAAGTTCATCCCAAAATTATTATTTGTATTTGTATTACTGTAGGACCAAGGACCTCATTGTTAGGTACTGTTCAAACAGCAAAAAGACAGTCCCTGAGCCAGATGAATATCAATTCAAACATACCTATACCTTGCTTTTTATAAGCATTCTGAGTTCTGGAGAAGTCTCCTTTCTGTATTTGAACAGGGAAACCACAGCAAAGGGAAACTCGTTTGCTGAGGCTGGCGCTTGTGCCTAGCCGTGCCCTTCCTGTAAAAGACAGGAACAGAGAAGAAGCTAGTTTGCTAGGATCCAACCCCACCAGGAAAAGGGCAGCAATGACACTTCTCTCCTTGATTTAATAGGACAGTAGGGATGTGAACCCTGTAAACATCACCCTAAACAAGTGATGCTTCCTGTGAACTGGTAAACCAGCAGCCCTACCCATGGGCAGGAACCCGTTTAAATTAATTTTAATCAGTTAACCAGTTCAATGCTACATTTTTCCAGTTAACTGATTAAACAGAATTTTACAACTCTAGAGAAGCAGCAAGGGGCCGGTCCTATAAGGTAGGAGCTTTCAGCATTACACAGGCATTCTGGAAATGGGGCAAAACTATCACCACCTTTGGAGGAATGGAGAATAAAGAGGATTATTAGCCTCCCCAAACCCAGTGATAAGGGAGCTGGGGCCAGGGGACTGTGAGAAGCCAGCTCCGCAGAGGTACTACTGTGCTGCTACTACTGGGGCCAGAGAGGAGCAGTGGGGGCTGCAATAGCAGAAAGGGGCATTGGAGGGGCTTCTAGTGGGGGCAGCCAGAGAGGTGACTGGCGGACAAGGAGCTAAAGCAGCAGACAAGAGCTTGGGACAGCAGTGTGTGTTGGGGAGGGGGATTAAAGAAGGGACCGCAGCAGCTTCAGCGCTCCAATCGAGGTACCTACTACGCAATGTACGTACCAGCGCGCTCCAGCCTAAAGCACGGCTCTACGCACGTTGCGTCCATCCCGGAACCAAGAAGAGAAGGAGGAGAATGCGC